GGCAATAAATAGATGACTGTTACAAGTGATAACTCTCATGACTCAAACCCTCTTGCCTGTACTTTTCCCTTACGCTGCTGCAATAAAAAAGATCTGTCAGGCAAGGGCAAGGCTGAGGACTTTCTTTGGCTTTGGGAAACTTCTTCAATTCTTCCCACAGAGGAAAAGTACAGATCCATTCTCAGTAAGGAAAGAAAAATGCTTTTGTTCCTCCACTCCCTGTTTCATGGGATTCTGAACACCCAAATCATGCACACAGAAATGGGAAGTACTGATCTCCTCAGCTGATGGGGGAAGCTGCTGGAGTGGGGAATCTCGTCTGCCTCCTCTCAGTAGATGAAGAACCCAATTATTCTCATTATTGGGGCTTGTCCCACCTTTGTATTATCCCTGACCTTTAAACTGCTATTACATAACCCAAGTCACTCTACCATTTGCTGGTAGAGTGTCAAATCATGGATGTTCCCTCTACTGTGGGCATTCAAAGATTCTGAACAATCCTGCCCATAGACTAAGGCTTAACTCAGGTCTCTTCAAAGGCAGAAAATGGATTTGTTGTACAAGCTGAAGAAGAGACTCCCTCTAATCCAGTAACAACTATGGCAAGCTTTTTTTGAGCTTGAAATCTCTCATTTTGCGCAAGCATATGAAACAGGTGACAAATTGATGTGAAAATGGGTCACAGAGGACTCTCTGTTACTTGCCATCTGTGTCAGGGGTGGGAAATGAGCGTTTATGAGGATCCACCAAGCAGTGCTTACCATGTGATACCTTCTTGTTGATATCCCTTGGTAAATACTGAGGGGTGGAAATTTCAGGGCTAATATTTAGCACAGTCTGTGACTGACATAGTGAAAAGGCTTACTAGGGGGTTGTGGGCTGAACTTGAAATACTATATCCCCTTTGAAAAGGATAGGTCATCCTGACGATATTGGATTTCTTTGTCTCCTAAGGATGACAGGACCAAGGAACTAAGCTTTCCTCTCTTGCTTGCTCTGGCTCTTGGCCACAGCTGAAAGTGAAAGCAAAAACATTGGAACTTTCACTGGGCTTTAGGAAGAATTCACCAAAAAGAAACTTTCTGTTGCCTGGATAGACTCCAAAGCAATTTGGTAACAAGGAAAAAAGGATCGTAATTAGGATTTTCCCAGCAAATCTCAGCGCAGCCTTTCACTGCTTGACTAAACAGAATTATGCCTGCATTGAACTCCTTGGAGGGGTTCAGTGCCACATGGATTGCTATCTGTCTCTCCAAAGCATTTTGAGCACAGGCAGCACACTGGATTTAAGATGCCAAACTTGCTTTGGTTTTAACCATATGAACGTAATCTGTATCCAATGAAGATTCTACGCGTGGCAGATCCAGAGTTTCATCCTGGGGCAACTGAAATGAATTGCAGTAACTGACTACAAGCAGAAATCAATTGGACCAGTTACCAAATTACTTCATTTAAATGTGAAATTATTTGCTCAGACAGCAAGAAACTATTTACATGTGCTACTTTTGAAATTTACCTCTAGCTATGACCATATGGTAATTTAACTTTTAAATAGTATTTACTGCATTCTTATACTTTAATCAGTCAATGCAAAGCTTAACTCTGAAGAACTCTGTGTTTAAGCTTGAAACTCAAAACATTTGCAGTTTCTCTCTGCCTTTGAGCAGTTGCAATTGTCAGATAATAGCAGATCAATCCGTGCTCAACCCTTTGAAGTGTATCTGCTCAAATGTGTCTCCTGCCTTGCATTGGCTGCCCTATGTTTTACTCCAAGTGGAGGCAAAACTTCTTGCTTTGGAAGTAACCAGCTCTGCTCAATTAGCAGAGCAAGGATTTTTTGAACATCACACATAATTAGTTTTATGGTCTCTAGTTTTAAGAGCCATTTGTTAATCTTTTTTATATAGCTGGCACAAACCTTGTGATTCAAATACAAGGAAGCAGGAAAATGGCTGGCGTACTTCAACCACACACAATTCCAGAACCAGCTCAGCTTTTCTGAGAAGCAATTCAGCTTCAGATTTCAGAAACAATGACATGGTTACTTTAGGTAGAGAAATAACCAGAGTTTGCAGAAGAAGGAAATACTTCTTATTAGATAACATATTTTTGGAAGTGACTTAGGAGCAAATAATCCCATCTCTGTATTCTCTTTTCTCTCTCTCTCTCTCTCTCTCTCTCTCTCGTCTCCCTCTGTGTCTATGACTGCATGTATCTGTACGGATCTGACATCCAGAACACAGCAGTGTTCAGTATTTCTTCTGCTGTCTGAATTAGTTTTGCTGTTACTTTCTTTATAGGTGGACAGGACTTCTAGGAACAGACAACATCTTGAATTTAATCTGTGCTGGTGACTGCTGCATGAAGAGGTAATGTTTCCCTTTGTGGAGAAAATAGAATATGATGTGTTAGCATTTCAGTGGATTTTGGTGTGAAGAACAGGAGGTTTTCCTCACTGGCTGGCTGGAGCATTGCTTTGTCTCTTTCAGATGTTTGCTTGAGGGAAGAAAGGAAAGAACTGCTCTGTCTTGGAAAAGTAAGAATAGATTTTCTTGTCATATAAGGTCTTGGCAAGTGAGTGTTAACTACATGTTATGCATAACATTTCAATAAGCACATAAGAAACAATTTAAAAATAAATTGGGGTTTTCTCCATTGCAAAGTCTAGGTCTCTGTGCCAGATAAAATCCAATGGTCTGTGTAGGTGCCCTCCTAAAGAGTGTGAAGGGAAGGAGACCTGAGCGGGTCAGGACTCCCATCTCTCTCTTTTCAGTGCTAATGAAGCATGGTAGGTTGTGGAAGAGAGCAGGATATTGCAGCTCTCTATGAGAAGCAATGTTATTTATTCCATAGAGTGTGCCTGTTGTACTATGTGATGTTAGATGGCTGCGTATGATACTGTCAGAAGATACTGTCAGGAAATTCCTTGATAGGAAAATTATTTTCTATCACCTCTTCATCATTTACTGGTTTAGAACTCTGGATTTTTTGTGAGATTTTTGTAAAGAACTAATTAAGCTGCAGGAGTGGACAGCGGGACTTGTGACACAGCAGGGACATGTCCCACAGCCCTGGATAACGAATGGAGAGACCTGTCCCTGCCGCCGTGCCAAGCTCCCTGATGTCAGCCCTGGGCCCTGTTTTGGGGCAGGAGCAGGCTGACAGTGGGCTGCCCCCAGCCTGTGATGATGGAGGACAGAAGGCTGCAAGACACTGATGAGAAAGGCTGTGAGGACTCTGATCCCCGGAGGCAAAGGACCAGAGGTATGGGGATCTTCTTGGGAGGGAAAACCTGCTAAGGCCCAGCTGGGCTAGAGGATTGCAGATTTTGTTCAGTTGAATAACTTAGAATTTCAAATATGACCTGCAGTCTACTGTAATGCAATTTCAACCTTTAAATCTTTCACATTGTTTTTGCTTTCCTCAATATTACAGTCCATTCCTCTCTACCCCCCCAACCACTATTTTAATTTATGTCAACAAAAATTCCTGATCCCACCTCTTAGGCATGTGTGCAATAGTGAGGTTGTTTCCAGAGCTGCTGGGTCCTTGTTGGCTTTGGTACTTGAGTGCTTCTGGATACCAGGCTGTTTCTCTTCCTGTGCCCATGCATTGACTTTGAAGTCTAACTTTGCATGCCTAAGCTTTGAAAAGGCTTTGAAACTTTGGTAAAAATGAAGACCAACACACTGTCATGAGTGGTCTCCCAGTGCTGGTGAAAACTCCATGCAGCCAACTGCCTAAATCTCATCAGCTGCTTTAAGAGAAAGTTTGAATTAATGGCTCTGAATGTGGTGGAGTTTCCTTCTGTCCCAGATATAAACACACTGTCCTAGGCAGAGTTAACTGTTATTTTTAGCTATAACAAAAGTGCATCTGAAAAGCCTGTTCTATTGCACTTGGAAAATACCAGATGACTCCGAGTGCCAAATATGCTGGGGGAAAAAGCATTCCTGGAGCAGGCTTGCCCTGGACAGGCTGCATGAACTTTTCAAGGCTTCCGCTCCCCTTTTTCCCACACGCTCACAGGCACGCTCACACGCACACACAGGGAGCAGTGTGGAACTGCACAGGCTGCTGCTGAGCCCTGCTCAGTGTATTTCTTCTTAAGAACAAATTCGAAGTGTGTGCAGTTTGTTCATTCACCTAACTGAATTGAAGCCTCTTTGCCAAGCAGTGTTATTGCTTTGTTTGGTTACAAGCAGGTTTTCTTTAAAGGGTAAAACGCCATTAATAGAGTCCTTGTTTTTCTGGTTTTTGAAAAATCTAAGACTATGTAGTTTTCATAAATGGGTGAATAGATGAACTGACCACGGCCTTTCCTTAAGTTATTGAACCTTATCACTAACACAAGAAAGGTCATCTGTGGGAGGGTATGGACACATTTCAGCTCTCAAATGACTTTGGAATAAAGACAGGAAATAGAGTAGAGAAAACAAGTTCTGTGGCACCAAAATGCCCTTTCCGCCAGCAGGACACAGCCGGGGGACTGTTTGGCACAGCCGACGCTGCAGCGTGGAGGACGTGGCCCAGCACTGATGCCGCGGAGCAGCGTGGATGCGGTGCAGCAGCATCGGTACCGGATCAGCATGCACGCTGTGGATGCTGTGGAGCAGCGCGGGTGCCGTGGAGCCGGGATGCTGCCGCTGGCCAGGTGAGCAGGGTGCAGAGGGGAGCTGCGGAGGGGGCTGCCCGCGGGGGTCGGAGGAAGCGCCGGCCCCGGGCGGCAGGACAGCCCCGCTCCCGTCTCCCGAGAGAGCGGCGGCAGCGGCGGCCGGACCGCCGCAGCGGGACTGCGCTCCCCGCCCGCGGCTTGGCGCGGCTGCCGCCGTGCCGGGGCGCGTTCCCTCCGCGCTGAGCGGCGGGGCCACCGCGGGCAGGGCAGGGCAGAGCGCCCCGCGGGCAGAGCGCACCGCGCCGACGGGCTGAGGAGGTGGCGGCGGTGTGACAGCGCGGCAAGGAGCATGCGTGCGGGAGGGGGCGCGGGGGGGGAGGAGGAGGAGGAAGAGGAGGAGAAGGGATGGCGCGGGGAGGCGGCCGCTGTTTATTTGCAGCCGGGCGGGCTGCGCCTCGGCAGAGCGCGAGTGGCCGGCGGCGGTCCCGCTGCCCGCCCCGCACCATGCGGGCGCCGCTGCCTCCCCGCGCCGCGGCGGCGGCGGAGCCGGGGCAGCCGGGGCAGCCGGCGCGGCGCCCCGCGCCATGGTGACGGGCTCGGCGCGGGGCTCCCGCAGCCGGGACCGAGCCGCGCCGGCCCCCTGCCCGTCGGCGGCCGGGCGGCGCGGCGGGGCGGCGGCGGCGGCGGTGCTGGCGGGGCTGTGCGCCCTCTGCTACGGCAACTCCCTGCGGGGCGAGTTCGTGCACGACGACGTCTGGGCCATCGTGAACAACCCCGACGTGCGGGCGGCCGCCCCCGTGTCCGCCGCCTTCGCCAACGACTTCTGGGGCAAGCGCATGGCCGAGAACACCAGCCACAAGTCCTACCGGCCCCTCTGCGTCCTCACCTTCAAGTGAGTGTCGGCACGGCGGGGGCTCCCCCTCCGCACGGACCCTCTGCCGGCTCCGTGTCCGGGCGGACGGGGGCGGCCGGCCCCGGGCGGGGGTCGGGGGGAGCCTCCCGGTCCCGGTCCCTCGGCTTCGTGATTCAGCATTTCTGCCCGGAGTCTGCGGGACGGGGGCTCAGCCGCCGGCGCCGTCCCGCGGCCCGGCCCGGGGCAAGTTTGCTGGGGGAGGGAAGCGATGCTGCGAAGCTCCGGCGGAGTCCGCCGCTCTCCCGGCAGAGTGCCTCGCTTTCCCGGCCGTCTGGGAGCAGGTGGCGCCTCTTCCCCGGGCTGCGGGAGGGCTGAAAGGGAAAACGGAGCGTTTCAGAAAGCGCTTTTGGCTGGGGAAGGTGCTCACATGAATTCCTCGTGAGTTCTTCCTGTGCTTTATCTCGAGTACCTTTTCTCCGCAATTGAGTGATCGTGCCAGAAACTTCCCGCGTTGTGTTTTGAAACGGACCCGTAGTTACCGCTCCCTTTGTTCGCGGCGCTGAGTGGAGGGGTCAGCCCCGCGGGTATCGCGCCGTTCGTGCATCCCTCCCTTGTCAGTCACGGAGTTGTAGCCTCACTGCTTCAGATCTTCCTTCCCCGTGTACCGGGCAAAGTTGTTGAGGAGGAGTTTCCGTTCTAAAGGAATAAAGGGAAGTTGAGTAGCAGTAAAGTGTCAGCTACCTTTGCTAATCCTAGAAAGAAAACCTTCGCTGGCCTCTCTCCCCCAGGAGAAGAATTTATGACAAATCAGCTCAGTTACAATGCATACAGTTTGTCATTCTCTCCATTAGCTTGTTCTCTGTTTAATTTATTCTGATGGAACATTAACGATGATGAATACTTAGCTCATTTTAGCATTTAGAAATGATACATGTGTTTGCAGAGAGCTGTGCTGAAGAGCTGGTGGTGTGGCTGAAAGCTGTCTAGTGCTCGGTGATCGGTAGATGCTCATTACAAACTACGGCAGGCATTGGGAATAAGGGGTATGGACATTGACGAGTCTGCCAGGGGGATGTGTTACCGGTTCCTGGTTCACTCTGCTGATTGAGTAACTCATTAGCACACCGGATACATAAATAGAATTTCATGAATATGTGGAAATTGAGTGTTTCTGTGAAGTAGGAGCAGTTTTGGGAAATGGAACATCTCTTTGGCATTCCCGCAGAGCACTAGCTGCTCTTTGGTTGTAAAGGTGGACTTGGAGCCAAGAGCCATCAATATTGGCTGTCTGGGCACAGTCTGGTGTGCTCCTCATAAAGGAAAGCTGAGTAGCACAGACCCTTGTAAACTGGATTTTTTAGAACAGGTTTGGTACCTTCTCCTTGAAGGGTGTTTCAGCACATTTCTGTAAAGAGCGAGGTGGGAGTAAGTAGTTGAGGGCAGAGCTGGCTTTGCGCACACAGAGTGTCTTCTCCATCGTGTGTCCAACTAAATTCTTGCAGTGTGAGCATCCATGTAATTAATCCACTCCTCCAGCAATACACCTGGGGGTAATTGGAGGGAAGAGTGAATGTGTGTATATCACCACTGACCTCATTGCATGCAATATTAGCACTGGAGTGCTGGACTTGGCCCCCTAGATCAGGTTGCAGGATTGAGATTGTGATGCTAATGAGCAAAAAGGAACTTAAACTTTAATACCAAAATGAAAACTAAATGTTCTAGTTCCCATTTGTATGTATTTGAACTGGTTTTGCCTTTGCTATTTAAAGGGGCATGTGTCAAAAAAGGATGAAGTGCTGTCTCTGCCTAGTCTTTTTCTGCAAGGGAAGTGACACTAATTTTGTGAACAAGATTTAATCCTCTATGCTTATAATAATCATACAGCCAAGACATTGGGTCAAAGGCAGAGTCATTTGTTCACCACTTGGCATTGCATTTGGAATAGGGAAGGAATCATATATCTTCCCTGGCTGCAGAGGGAGATTATATCCACTGTGTCCCAATTATCCTTCCAGCCTTCCAGTTTCCACATTCTTCCCATTTCATTTCTACCAGTAGGATGTCAGAGGAAGACGTTGAGAACTGGGTGGAGTGAATCCTCAGTGAAACCCAGTGCTTCCAAGGAAGCCTTGGGCAGCTTTTGCCAAGCGGCGCTGAACCTCTGAACCTGTGGCTGAGCTGTGCTCTGCCTGCCTGAGGCATCCACCCCTGCCTTGCCCAGCAGGAGGTTGCTGCTTGCTCTCTGTCTTCCTGCAGAAGAAAAAAAGCTGATTCTTGTAAAAAGATTTACCCTGATTCTTGTAAACAGTTCAGCAGAAACTGATAGGTAACAGAATGGAAATGAACGTTGCTAATACTTTTGTTAGAATTTACTCCACTCACTTAAGATACTCCAGAAAATTGTGTGATGTTTGCAGGAAGGAGGGAAGAGAGGACCGAAGTATTCTGGTATCTTTATTGTTTGTAAATGTGCTTGTTTTATTTATCTTGTTTTGCTAATTTGGTCAAATCCAAGGCATTTCAATAGCAGCATGAACCTTTGTATCAGCCTAGTGGCTCTACTTCTCTTGCATGAAACTTTCATCTGAATAGGCTTGTTTCTCATCTTGCTGTATTAAGATTAAAGAATCTGGGAGAGCTCCAAACTGCCTGTACAGAACAGATGTGAAGGGTGGGCTGAAATTTACATCTACAGATTCATCAATCTACTGAAACTTTGTCTCAGTCTCTTTTCTGCCTTTTGTGGCTGTGAAAGTAAGAGGCAGGACTCAAAATGCCCTGTGGACTTCTCATTAGGCTGAACATATCCTACATATAAGATACATATTCCTGAAATGATCTCAATTAAAAAAATTTATCACTCATCTGTCAGAAAAATCTGAAGCGGACATTGCTGAAATTGTGTAACAGTAGTTCAGTGTCCCTGATGAATTGGAAATCATAAGTGACAGTTCTCATTCCCATAGACTAATGCTCTGGAGCCAAACAGTGGAAAGAGCTCAAGTATTTGACATTATTCACACTGGATCTGACAGTATGAATGATCAGAGGATCATCCAGGCCCACTGGAACCATTAAGCAAAACTTAAAATATTCACAGAATTGCTCCACTGTTTTCTGTGGGTTACCTTCAGAAGGGGAAAAAACGCCTTCATATGGACTGTTGAATTAAATAATGTTTGCTTTGTGCCTTTGACCTTCTCTTACCTTTTCTCTTGACTTCTGTAAAATAAAGGAATGTTGAATGAGTTGGTTCAGAAGCATTCCTATTATACATGGGTAACTTAGGTGGCAGGTCTTGCACAACTCCTTGTCTGCACAGGAGCTGAGATGGTAGGCAGTGGTTATTCTTAGTCCTTCAGAAAAACTTACTTCATGCTCTCTTCTCCAGCTGCTGTCACTTAGATGTATTTACCTACTTACCTGCAGGTGTTTTCTAACAAGTATTTCAATATACTTCTTTCTAAAGAAGGCAATGTTTTGGACTCAGAAGATACTATTTTTTGGTGTCTTCCCTATAAAATGTTAAGATGAAAGGTAGAAAAAAAGAGAACTGCCAGTTCTGTAATTCAGTCAGGGTTTTATATTTAAACTGAGTGCTTTCTGTCTTACACCTTGCCTCCACTAACAGAAGTTCACTGAATCATTTACTCCCTCAGTAGAACTTCAGTTACTCCTTGTTTCCAGTGGTTTTGCAGAAATGTTTCTGAGCTGGTGAAGCAGGAGGTGCAATCCTCAATGCTGTCTCCCTTCCTCTTTCTGGCTGCCAAATCCCCATTTAGATAGATTCTCCAACCCAGAAGCAAACAGGTGATGAAGATTAGGTGTAGTCAGCAGCACAGTGAAGGTACACAGTGATAGGAAATGGTGAGAATGAAGCCTTTCAAATCCCCTGCATGCCAAGATTTAAATATTTAAAGACATTTAATCAGATATGAGCCTCCTGGTTTGCAGGTGGCTGAGAAGTGAAGGCCCTGTGTGCTCAGCCTCATTGGTGGTGCCAAGGCAGGTGCTGGTGAGGGATGTCTCAAGGAACAACTCAACAGGGATAGAAGAAAAAAGGTGGTGAGAAGTCTAGGGCACATGGCTGTGACAAAGACTTGGGAGGAAGGCATGGCAGGGAAGCACAGCAGATGCCTGGTCTTCCTCAAAGTGGTGGGAGTGACTGTTCACTGGGAATGTGCTTGGCTCTGTGGAAGGGTGTCAGAGTGTCCACTCCATCTGCTGCTGGTGGCCCAGGAGAAGAGGAGCTGGAGGGGGAGAAAGCTGCAAAAGGGAATTTGAAAAGACAAGAAAAGACACAATTTATGCAGAGAGCCATCCTACTGGTACTCTAGCTGGACAAAAAAATGGGACAAAAGATAAATTAAAATGTCTGGGCCGTGCTCAGGTTCTGGCTGCAGAATGGTTAACATTCCAGGTCTGCCCACCAAGGCTGCTAGCCAGTGATGGCTTGGGTATGTACCTGCCTGGGAAGTAAATAGGGCCCTTCAGCAGCGGCTCAGTATTCTGGTTGGCGTTGAGAGCCTCATGTGAGGCTCCAGTGGCTTTGGATCAAAGTCTTAAGTGAATATGAGCTTGGGTTTGATGTAAATACATAGCCAAAGAGAGAACTGCTTCTATAACTCACTGTCAGCCTTCTGATCTATCAGGTTGTTTACAGCTGATCCTTCTGTTTTTTCAGCTGTATCAGTGGCATAAGTTTCAAGGACAGGGAGCTTAAGAGAACCAAAACCTAGGGAAGGAAAAAAGACCTTAGATTTTCTTTGTTATTGATTTAATGTTATATTACAGCTTGACAGCGCAGGGTAATATAGTGGAGCTATAATGTGTCAGGTTAAATACACAGTGCTCAAGTATTTTCTTCACTCTGAACATCACAATGTTTAAGATTGTGTCAGAATTTCTCTTGTACAGCTTAGTCTACTATTTCTACTCATGCTGTGGCAGTCACTCTCCACACTGCTACTGTGATACCTGCCATGAAATTGATGTAGGTCTGGTGTGGCCACACTGGATGAGGTGGACTTGGTGAA